CTTCTGTTATCAATTGGTGCTATATAAATAAAATTGAATTGAATTGAATTGAACTACTCCCTGCATTGGGAAATCATGTGCTGCAAAACTGCCCAATATGACCATAATTTGCCTGTGATACTAGGCTGGAATTTACACAGTTAAGTGCAACAAAATATGGAGTTTCCACACACCAAGTGTGCCATATTCAGTTCTTTTCTCGTCTGACAGGTGGTATAGAGTATCCCCAGCCTTTTAGTAATTTATACCGCACTGTCTCTCTGTTGTCCTGTAGGCTCAGACTTCTCCCCTCCTGTTGGCCATCTTCCAGTCCTGCGACCCAGCCATGACCTAAACCATTTTCCTGCTGCCACTGACCAAGCCTTACCTCCAAGTAAGAAGCAACACCTCCCAGTCTTACTCTGGAGTCACATCCCTACACATTGGTTTGCTGTGCAAGTATAGCTAGTTTGTGTGTGTGTGTTTCAATGCATGCTACCAAGTATGTTTGCTTTGCAAACATATCCCATCTCCTCTGTGTTTTCCCTCATCATCTCATCCTCCCTCCCCGCACACCTCTGTAGATGTACAGCTTCATAATGCTATGTGCCACTTGGTTCATGGTTGGATCTGCACTCAGTATTGGATGCTTGGATGGCTCGCTGGTCATTGCCGATTCAGAGCAGGAAAGTCAGCTGCCAGAAGGCCCAAACTCCACTGAGCTGTTACATCATCCAGCGTCCAACTGAGAGCACCTAACCAGTGTGCTGTTTCCTTTACACGCAACATTTTTCAATACATGCTTTGGGATAAAAATGTGCAGTCTGTTTTCTGCTTAAGATTATACAGCAGCAATTTATAACCCTCAAGAATATGGCTATCAACACCTCTTTTCTAGTTTAGGGGGAGTTAGATGTTATTATATTATTATATTTCTTGCACAGTGATTTTTCTGATTTTGTACTCATTAAAGAAATGGTTAATTAATGAGCTTCAGAGGTGTTGATAGGAGGATATTTAAACCTTAGACAAAGCCAGGCTAGCATTTTTCCTGTGCTTCCAGTCTTAATGCTAAGGCTAATGGCCTATATAGATCCTCTTAGCTTATATTAATCTTATTTTAACCATGTGTTTGCATCGCAACCAAAGGAACAAACAGATGCAGGATACGCAAGGCAGCTGTCATGCGCACATAAATGCGTAGTTAAAAGCAAGTGTATCTCTGGCCTAAGGGCTTATTTGGTTGCTATTAACTACACATGCATATAATGCCTACCCTCCATGGCCTGTAGGTTGTGTGCATCCTCAGAAATTAAGTCTTGTGTTAAAAAGTTCGAGGCAGTATATATGAGGATGTGAAGAAAGGTAAGCAACAGGAAAATGGAAATAGAAACTGATAGAGTTGTTTGCTGCTGCTTTTTCCACCACAGTCTCAACATGAATAATACTGTATACTGACATTCTTGAATGTCGCCATGTTTATGCAAAATCAGAAGTTGTCAAGGGAGATATTCCACTGTTGGCCCGAGATGAATCAGTCCTGATGTGCTCCCTAGATCAGAGTTTTTCAGACTATGAGGCATGCCTCCCCAGGGGGGCGCGGGAGAGATGCAGGGGGGTGGTGCACGGAGGGACCAACACAGTCAGCTCACAGCTCATGGAGGCAATTAAGGTACTTTAACATGCTTAGTGCCGGAATGCCACAATTTGCCTAAGAACTCACATTTCTTCTTAGAGTCATAACTCAGTCTGTCTCACTCTAAACATACAGACTTAATACACATGTTTAGATTTAGTGTTACGCTTTATTACTTTATACTTTATTATTTCTGATGTTCGTTGCAAGTAAATGTCTATAAGACGATCCAGAACTTTCCTGAGAATGATAATGTTCTTCTGATATAGCATACTTTTGGTATTTTGTTATATTTTGGATAGTGACAGCAGACAGAGACAGAGAGAGGATAACATGTAGCAAAGGGCCTCAAGCTAGATTTAAACCCAGGCTTCTGCAAGAAGAAGTCAGCCTTGATACGTGGTGAGTACCAAGTTAGCTAACATACCAGGTGAGCTACAGGGCCACCAACATTTAGCATCCTTTTAATGGTGCCAGTTTGCCAAAATGTAAACAAACCAAACGTTCCTCAGGTTGTAGCCCAAAGTGTAACTTGCTGAATCCACAGCATCATGTGTACGTCCCCCAAAACATTATGGGAACTGAAGTTTCAAAACTGAGAGCACAATTCTTGCAGCTGACCCCAAATAGAAGTAAGACGAAGAATAATAATAGGACTGACAAAAATCTATTCATATATACAATATTACATTACTAATGTTGCTGGTGTTGGGGGTTTCCAGCTAACAACACTGGACAGCCCTGACATTGCTCTTGATGGATATAGAGAAGTTGTCAGAGCCCAAAGTGATGAATTCAAAATAACTTTTGGTCGGACTAGCACTCATCCAAAGGTAACCAGTGTAAAGGTGATAGGAAATAGACATTTTAGAAGCTGGAACCAGAAAATGTTTAGTATGTTTACTTTAGAAATTACTTGAAACACAGTCACACAAGTCAGAAATGTCACAGCCTTTGTTGATAGCACTAATCATAATAACCAGACATTGTTCATTCAAGTTCATTCCTCTTTGACTTTAAGTATGTGAAAGTCAGTGGCAGTACAATTTAGTCAAGCACTTTCCTAACTCCCTAAATATGGTCAGGACTGGCACGCTGTGTGTGTGTGTGTGGTGTGTTGTGTGTGTGTGTTGTTGTGTGTGTGTGGTGTTGTGTGCGTGCGTGCGTGTGCGTGTGCGTGTAGGCAGAGCAGTCATGACCAATAGAGGGTTGTTTTTTTTCTGTCTTGAGGGGGCGGTCTTCATCTTCCTTCTCCTCCTCCTTCAGCAGTTAGTCAAAGCTGGGGAAAACTGCTATGGTCCTCGTTTCGCACATTCACACTGTGGGTGTTTATGAGCCAAATTAAGTCCTAATTGTGGCATATCAGATAGTCACAACAACAACAACTTTGATTTCAATTCCAACCTGCCTCTGTTTCTGATTAAACCACAACAAACATAAACCCAAATGACAGAAATAAGCTTTGCTCAGCTTTGAGCAAAAACTTGTGTAAGTCTTGACCTACATGATCCTATATTGATCAGTTAAATAATGTTCATGCAATCCCTAAGAATATTTGAGTAAATTAGTATTGAAACTATAGATAGAATATGGTGGGTCATAAAACTACTATCCAGAAAAATAAAACCCCTATTATAGGAACTACTTTAATCAAGTTTATTTGTTTAAGAACAAGGTTGAAATATTCTTTGTTTTGTGACAAATATTTTCCCTTGTTTTATTTCTATGATAACAGTGGGTCAGATGCTTGTGTAACAGACGCCACAAGTGGCGTTAAACCCACAGAGAATGATCACCAATTCCACACTTCCATCAGCTCTACGCATACTTAAGCATCTTCCAGCTTATAGTTTAGATTTTATGGTTCACACAAATTTCCAGTGTAGCAGCAGGCAGCTGCTTTCAGTAAAAAAAAATCTCTAATTGATCTGACTGTACCTGCTCGTGATCCGGGCAGCACTGGTTAGCAGCTAGCTGGTAAACATAGTGGAGCTTTTAGCATCTTGAGAGTGAGATATTTTTCTCAGGGGTTGGTAGAGATCAATCAGAGAGTAAATATTGGATATTGATATCATTACTGATATCATCAGGTGACACCAATGAATGCTCATCCGGTCCTGTGTCAGTTGGATGCAAAAACATTATTTTAACTTTATGGGCTGATAATATGTCAGTGTTTTTACAGCTTGTTCTCCTGCCCCCATTAAAGCCAAAATAATTCATACTGCCCTTAAGGTCCAGTGTGTAATATTTAGGAGGATCTATTGTAATGAAATGGAATGGAATCTAATATTAATAGGTATGTTATCATTTGTCCTTGTGTTTTTGTTACCTTGAATGAGACATTTTCATCTACACAGGGAGCGTGTCCTCTTCTACAGAGTCCTCAGTAGCCCAGAGCAGACAAATCAATCACTGGTTGTACCGTTAGTTATACACACTTTGATGTGGAGGATGAGGCGAGGGGTATTCAGTTTGTTGTAATCTGCAATTGCAATGCCAGGTAGCACAAAGGTTAGGTAAATGTTGTCTACTGGATGTTGCCAACAAGTCTGTAAGGTGATAACAAGTCAGTGTTTACATTTTCTTCCTGTGATCCAAGATGGATTCACTTGATTTTGACACATTTTCTTTAAGAGGATGTTGTTTTATAATAGAATTGGTCTTAATTTGATTTGTTCCCAGAGTGTATTTAAGATTTTGATTGATTTTCTTTACAAAATGTAGAGATTAAGCTTATATTTTCATATCATTTGGTCCATAGGCTTGGATCCTACCAATAATCGGCTTGTCAGAATCAACCCGAAAGTCCTGATGATTTTCAAGGCAGCCATCAGAGCTTGTATGAAGGGATTAGTTATCCACTCACTTTTGGTGTTGTAATGTACAGCATCGAAAAGGAGTGTCACGATTTCGAATTTAAATCGAAATCGATCGAAATTACATCTCAATCTCGAACTTCGAACTCAAAGGTAGAATC